ATCAAGACTATCAAAAACTTTGTTTAAACTTTACTATAAATTAAACCAATAACAACATAAAATCTTATTTAAAAAACATAATTTATAATGAAAAAATCTCCAAGAAACTTCTAATATACAATGTAAATTTAAAAGGGGAACTCTGATTTAAAAACAAATGAAATATTTTTGCTATTTGTCTTAATTTAATTTCCATATTTTAACAAATTTAATTTTTTTATTCAAATTTTATCATAATACTTCAAACTTTAGTATAACTTTATTTTACATACCTTTAGCTTGTATTCTTCTCTATAGAATTGCTTAAAAAAATCTTAATATTTTGAGAAATTTCCTACATATTTTCCTTTTTTAAACATTTTAGCCATAATTAATATCAATCATACGCTCTAGGGCTTTGGAAAGTAAAATTCATCATAACTTTTGAAAACTTGCAGCGTTTTATATTAAATTTTTATATTTTTAACACTAGTATCTAAACTTGAAAATATCTTTAAAAGACATTTAATTAGTACCCTGAGACAGGCACAGTGGAGCAAAAGGAACCAGCCAGTCAAAAAAATTGCCATAACGTTTGAAATTTAACTCAGATTAATGCAAAATTTTAAGGCATTGTATCTAAGTTTTAAAGCACTGTAAAAAGACTATTAATATGTACATAGATATAGGCACAGTGGAACAGAATAGCTAGATCTAAGATGATGTAGCCATGTCTGTCTTTCTATGTGCTAGAAGCACCATCGAAACGTGAATTGAATTTGCTCTGAACTAAAACCAGTGTTTTAGAGTGTGTCTTAATCTCCATGAATCCTTTTGGATTGAGCTCAGTCTAAGATAGTATTCAAGGCCTCCATCTTAGTTCTAATTGTAGGTCTTTTTTAAACTTTTTTACAAGTTCTATCTTAGTCTTTTCTAATGATCTATTAAAGCTTCAATCGTAGATCTTCTGGGAGTCTTTATTTACTTCAATTGCAAATCTTTTTGTAGATCAGTTAAGATTCAATTAAAGCTTCATTCGTAGACCTCCTGGGAGTCTTTATTTACTTCAATTGCAAAACTTTTTGTAGATCAGTTAAGATTCAATTGTAAATCTTTCTATAACCTAATTTATGTTTCAATTGTGGGACTTTCAGTAGTCCAATTCCAGCCTCAGTTTTGGCACCTTTTGTAAATCAATTTGCAGCTTCAATCCTAGATCCCTCTGTAATCCATTCATGTTTAAATATGTCCAATTTCAATTCAATTTCTGCTTCAGACTTTGGTCTTCATGTAGGTCAAGTCTAACTTCAAGCGAAGGTCTCTATGTCTTCCAATTTCACCTTCAAACATCGAACTTCTTGTAGACCAATTCTTACTTCAATCTACGTGCTTTTTATATTGCAATTTCTGCCTCAATCGTCGGTCCATTTGAAGGAATCTTTAGTGTCCCATATTTCAATTTCAGCTTCAGTCTTTGAACTTGTTGTAGACCAATTCTAGCTTCAATTAAAAGTCTTTTAGTATTTCATTTCCATCTTCAATCATTGGACTTTTTGCAGGCCAACTCTAACTTCAATCGATAGCCTTTTTATATTGCAATTCCAGCTTCAATCATAGGTCCATTTGAAGGCCTTTTTCAATTTCATCTTCTGTTTTTAGACTTCTTGTGGGCCAATTCTAGCTTCAATCAAAAGTCTGTAGACCATATCTTCTGCTTCAATTGATAGTCCATTATGGTCCCATATTCCAATTCCAGCTACAAACGAAAGTCTTTATATATTCCAATTTCAGCTTCAATCATTGGGCTTTCCGAATACCAATTTTAACTTCAATCGAAAGTCTTATAATATAACAATTTCAGCTTCAATTGTAGGACCGTTTGAAGGTCTCTCCTTAAGTTTGTTGCAATTTGTTTATAACCACTTACTTATGTTTTTTAATGCCTAATTTTCATTTCAACTGACTCTAAACAAAATCCTTTAGATCCCCAAAGTATACCATCTATGTATGCTCATTTCAAATCCCTCAAGTATGCTTTGGTTTTTTTGGTTTTTAACAAAACCTTGAAATTCTAATTATTAAAACCAAATATATTTACATTTTTCCTATAGTAAAAATACATTTCCTCTTAATTGCTTTTAATTACCAAGAAATAGCTCTTCACTGGGTTTCTTTACAAACGAAATTATGCACATAAGATTGCTTATAACAAATTCTTAACAAGACTTAAAAATTTTAACTAAATTATTTATAACACTACACAAGTGTATACATTTTTCGTATACCCAAAAGTATGCAAATTATTTCGTTAAGCTTTAGCCCCCCTAAGTATGCTCTAAATAATATTTGTCAATTTAAACAACAAAGCCAGTTGCATTAAACTACCCCAACCAATTAAAATTTTGTAGTCTCTTTTCCTTTTGCTCCCTTTTCTCTTTCATTCAGTGATATCCTTATAAACTGACTATTTTCTATGCGTTTAATTTATACTATTTTATCTGTATTTAAATTAAAATCCCCTAAAGTCTGCTACATAAAATGCAATTTGCAAATTTATATCATTTAGAAACTTATACTTACATATATATATAAAATGCAAACTATAAAACTATTTATAAAATAATAATGTTAAATATACAAACAAACATATACATATAAATAAGTGTAATGTGTAAATACATATAAACTAGAGCGTTAAAAGAATTCTAAAAGGCATATAAATGATTAGAGACAAATGAGTAAGAAATATAAATTTATAAAGAAATAATTAAATTAATTTGAAGAAATTTTTAGGCTACAAAAAAATTTGTAAAAGAACAAAACAAGTTTATATATAAACTAACAAATTAAATTACTTAATTATAATATCAAATTTAATTAAAATTTAAATATATTATATAACACTTATTTTTAAATATTTTGTCAAAATAATTTATTAACAAATTCAAATATAAATTTTTCATATATACACATAAATTTAACTTAAAATTAAGCTTAACTTTAGTACAAATAAACTAAAGTCAATATCTTTTTTTTCTAATTGCAAAAAATTTATATAAATTGTAGCATATTTTCAGGCATACAAAAGAAATTGTGAACTGCTTATTAAATAATAATTTATATATTTTTCAAATTTAAATTAAAATTGAAATAAAAAAGAAAATTGAATTAAAAAATCATTAAAAAAGAAAGAGTTTTATTAAATTAAAATCATAAGCGCACTATAGATCTTGCTTAAAGTACTGCTTCGATTAAAGTACTGAACTAGAACTGAACTAGAACTGAACTAGAACTGAACTAGAACTGAACTAGAACTGAACTAGAACTGAACTAGAACTGAACTAGAACTGAACTAGAACTGAACTAGAACTGAACTAGAACTGAACTAGAACTGAACTAGAACTGAACTAGAACTGAACTAGAACTGAACTAGAACTGAACTAGAACTGAACTAGAACTGAACTAGAACTGAACTAGAACTGAACTACTAGAACTGAACTAGAACTGAACTAGAACTGAACTAGAACTGAACTAGAACTGAACTAGAACTGAACTAGAACTGAACTAGAACTGAACTAGAACTGAACTAGAACTGAACTAGAACTGAACTAGAACTGAACTAGAACTGAACTAGAACTGAACTAGAACTGAACTAGAACTGAACTAGAACTGAACTAGAACTGAACTAGAACTGAACTAGAACTGAACTAGAACTGAACTAGAACTGAACTAGAACTAACTGAACTAGAACTGAACTAGAACTGAACTAGAACTGAACTAGAACTGAACTAGAACTGAACTAGAACTGAACTAGAACTGAACTAGAACTGAACTAGAACTGAACTAGAACTAGAACTGAACTAGAACTAGAACTGAACTAGAACTGAACTAGAACTAGAACTGAACTAGAACTGAACTAGAACTAGAACTATAACTGAACTAGAACTGAAATAAATAAATTAATCTAAAACGTACAATACCTTAAATGCTGACAACCTCTCAGGATGAGTCTTCAAACTTTTCGTCTGATCAAACCATCGAAATAAGGGTTTGATCTTAATCAGTTCTTCCTGGTTTAAATCGGCTTTCATTTCATCAAATTTCCTCGCAAGGTCATGTTCGATAAAATCCTTAAATTTATTTTCATTAAGTTTTTCAAATTTAGCATAGCCATGATCATCAAAGATTTCTTTGAGAAGCTGTTGGTCCTTTACGGGCATTGAGGACCAGTAAGCTTTCGATAAAGTCTTTTCGTAAAACATTTGTATTATTACATTAAGTTCATCAATATCTTGATTGTTTTCAATTTTCTTTAGGAGTTGATTAATATTTTCAGTTAAATTTTGTTTGACTTCCAGACTAAGGTGTTGCAATCTTTGATCTTTTGTTATCGCCTGCATAATATCTTTTAGACTTTTGGCATAGAATATACATATTAAGATATATAAGTTTTCCGCGATTAAATAGGCTAAGTCTCTGCTTGGGATTATAGATAAATCTTATGAAATAATTGTGAAAGCAATCGTAGTTATGGCAATTTTTAAAATCTTTGATCACGTCTAGAATGTTTATTTCTTTCTTCAATTCTTCTGGGGTAAGTTGTGATGTTAGCTCTTCAAATTTCGGTAGGAATTTTTCTTGAACAAATTTCTTAAATATATTGTCATAGTTTTCAGTTATTTCATTATAACCATGGGTGTTTAACAACTGGTTTATATACAGCGAATCGGTAGTGCTGTTGTCTATATCGGTTATATGACTTCTAAACAAATCAGCCAATTCCGAGAAAAGTTTATAGCGTATATAGTAAGGGTAATGATATAAGAAATCTGTGATGTTATTTTTAAATTCATTAATTTCTTTGGTGGCAGCCAATTGTACAATTTGATCTTCTAGTAGCTTTTCACTTAAAATTTTAACTTTTTCACAAAATTTTTCGTTTAATATTTGCAATTCATTGTAATGAAATTCTTCTAGTGTTTCTTTCAATAAAGTTGTGATGACGTTGCTAGAGCTTTCCATGGTTTTGATAGCTGGCAGCTTAATAGTTTAACAAATAAATAAAATTTATAAACATTTTTTTTTTGGAAATTTTATTTAACACTTACTTGTATTAGAGCTAAGATTATAATAGTGTATAAGATACTCATCGTTATTTTTTATTTGTTATTTAATGTTTTCCTCACTTTTCGTTTAAATTTTATTTTATCGATTTTTTAATACACAAATATTGCAATACTTCTCTCGCTACTGCTTACAAGGCAATAAATATAATTAAAATAATTCTTCACTTATTTACGATTCCATTTGAAACTTTTTACAAAAATAACCGGCTTTCTTACTTGGAACATAAAACAAATATGATTCATCATTTAACAGTTTTTAACAACGTAAAATCCATGTTATTTAATAATAATTATAACTTTTTTTACTAAAAGATTTACTTTTTACAAACAGCTTAAATGTTAAGGAGAAGCTCAATTTTACAAAACAAAAACCCACCAAAAGCTAACTTTCTTACTTAATTTGTAACTCTTACCTAATTTGTAACTAAAAATTTAATTAATCACTAAAATCACATACTTTAATAAAAACTCAACTTATCAGCAAAAGCTTACTTCCAAACTGAAAGTAAAGTTTTTCAATGAAAACTATATTTCTTACTTAACCAAGAGCTAAATTCTTCAACTACAGCTAGTTTTAAAAAAGTAAAATTTTTAAAGCTCAAAGTTTCACTAAAAGCTTTCTCTTTGTTCAAATTTTACTTTTTTCTTACCATTAGCTAACTTTATAGTCTAGTCTATAGTCTAGTCTATAGTCTAGTCTATAGTCTAGTCTATAGTCTAGTCTATAGTCTAGTCTATAGTCTAGTCTATAGTCTAGTCTATAGTCTAGTCTATAGTCTAGTCTATAGTCTAGTCATAGTCTAGTCTATAGTCTAGTCTACAGTCTAGTCTATAGTCTAGTCTATAGTCTAGTCATAGTCTAGTCTATAGTCTAGTCTACAGTCTAGTCTATAGTCTAGTCTAGTCTAGTCTATAGTCTAGTCTATAGTATAGTCTATAGTCTAGTCTATAGTCTAGTCTATAGTCTAGTCTATAGTCTAGTTCTATAGTCTAGTCTATAGTCTAGTCTATAGTCTAGTCTATAGTCTAGTCTATAGTCTAGTCTATAGTCTAGTCTATAGTCTAGTCTATAGTCTATTCTAGAGTCTAGACTATAGTCTAGTCTATAGTCTAGTCTATAGTCTAGTCTATAGTCTAGTCTATAGTCTAGTCTATAGTCTAGTCTATAGTCTATTCTAGAGTCTAGACTATAGTCTAGTCTATAGTCGAGGTATAGTCTAGTCTATAGTCTAGTCTATAGTATAGTCTATAGTCTAGTCTATAGTATAGTCTATAGTCTAGTCTAGGCTATAGTCTAGTCTATAGTCTAGTCTATAGTCTAGTCTATAGTCTAGTCTATAGTCTAGTCTATAGTCTAGGCTATAGTCTAGTCTATAGTCTAGTCTATAGTCTAGTCTATAGTCTAGTCTATAGTCTAGTCTATAGTCTAGTCTATAGTCTAGTCTATAGTCTAGTCTATAGTCTATTCTATAGTCTAGTCTATAGTCTAGTCTATAGTCTATTCTATAGTCTAGTCTATAGTCTAGTCTATAGTCTAGTCTATAGTCTAGTCTATAGTCTAGTCTATAGTCTAGTCTATAGTCTAGTCTATAGTCTAGTCTATAGTCTAGTCTATAGTCTAGTCTATAGTCTAGTCATAGTCTAGTCATAGTCTAGTCATAGTCTAGTCATAGTCTAGTCATAGTCTAGTCATAGTCTAGTCATAGTCTAGTCATAGTCTAGTCATAGTCTAGTCATAGTCTAGTCATAGTCTAGTCATAGTCTAGTCATAGTCTAGTCATAGTCTAGTCATAGTCTAGTCATAGTCTAGTCATAGTCTAGTCATAGTCTAGTCATAGTCTAGTCATAGTCTAGTCATAGTCTAGTCATAGTCTAGTCATAGTCTAGTCATAGTCTAGTCATAGTCTAGTCATAGTCTAGTCATAGTCTAGTCATAGTCTAGTCATAGTCTAGTCATAGTCTAGTCATAGTCTAGTCATAGTCTAGTCATAGTCTAGTCATAGTCTAGTCTTAGTCTAGTCATAGTCTAGTCATAGTCTAGTCATAGTCTAGTCATAGTCTAGTCATAGTCTAGTCATAGTCTAGTCATAGTCTAGTCATAGTCACTGAACTAGTCACTGAACTAGTCACTAAAACTGAACTAGAATTGTCTAGAAATGAACTAGAACTGAACTAGAGCTGAACTAGAAATGAACTAGAACTGATCTAGAACTGAACTAGAACTGAATTGGAACTGATTTACAACTGAAATATAACTAATTTTTCTAATGTTAACTAATAATTCTAATTTATAGAACTAGACTATATATATACTATATTTTAGAGAATTGGATATAGGAAAGTTCTGATTTAGTTCGAATTCCATAATCAACCAGTTTTTGAAGAAATACCAAGTTTATGGGAAAAAAATTAACATATAGAAGACATTATTTTAAAGTGAAAAATCTATGGAATATAAAAACTTCACTGACTTTTTAAAGGGTGTAACAAACCTATAACCATCGCACTAAGTATAGTGGTAGTATTGGGTGTTACCTTGTTTATTTGCACATAATATTATGAAATAAATACGTTGGTTTTTACGTTGTTAGTGTTAAATGGTTAATCATATTTACTATATATTTCCCTGTTCTGAATATGTTAAGACATTTAAAACCGGTTACCTCAGTGGCGATTTTCAAATGTGATCGTTAGTAGATAACAACAGATATTTTAATTCTGTTTATTACATTCTGTTCAGTAGCTGGTGAAGTATTGCAATAATTGCTGATTAAGTTATTTTAAACAAATTATTTTGCAAAATTGCAAAAAAGCAAAAATTTTCATAATGAAACTGTTATACACTGTGATGATCTTGTCGGTAATGCAGGTAAGTGTTAAATTAAATTTAAAGATTATAATTATAATTAATGGTATAATTTTCTTGAACCAGATGCCTGTTATAAAATCTAAGGAAACAACTTCATTGCGTGACATACTGAAAAAATTTCAAGTCAATGAATTGCAAATATTAAACCAAGAGCTTTCCGAAAAAGCTAAAATTTTAAGCGAAAACGTCCTAAAAGATGAAATTGTACAATTGGCAGCAACTACAGAAATGCAGGAATTTAAATGTAACATGACAGATTTCTTAGATTATTATCCCTGGTATAAACGCTATGGACTTTTCTCCGAATTGGCTGAATTATTTAAAAGTAATATACCCGATGTTAACAACAGCAGTACAGATTCTTTATATATCAGACAGTTATTAAACGAACATGGTTATGGTGAAATAAATGAAAATTATGAAAATAAATTTAAGGAATTTATTGAACAGAAATTCCTATCCAAATTTGAAGAGTCAAAGGCACAACTTTCCCAGGAAGAATTAAAGCAAGAACAAGTAATTATACAAGGAATTAACGAATTTAAAAAGTGCCACGATTATGAATGCTTCTACAAAATGTTAATTAAATTAGTGTACACTCCCAAGGAGCAGCTATTCCATTTTAATAGTCTAAAACTTATTAAACTTAATATATTCTTTGCCAATAGAGCAAGTGACATCATGCTGGCGGTCTTAAAGGATCAAAGATTGCAAGAACTTAGTTTGGAAGTTAAACAAAATTTAACTACAAATATTAAAAAAATAATTCAAAAATTTGAAAACAATCAAGATATTGATGAAGTAAACGAAATAATACAAAGGTTTTCCCAAAAAATTGTATTGAAATTTTTAAGCAGTAAAGTTATATCTTTAAAGGATCAACAGCTCTTAACACAAATCTTTGATGATCACGGTTATACTAAGTTTGATAATCTTAATGGCGATAAATTTAAGGATTTTTTTGAACAGGACCTTGAGATGAAATTTAAAGAAATGAAAGCCGATTTAAACCAAGAAGAGTTGTTGAAGATTGAACCCTTATATCGATGGTTTGAGCAGACAAAAAATTTGACGACCCATGATGAGAGGGTGGAAGCATTTGATAAGTTATATGTTTTAGAAGAATTTATTTAAGTTCAAAATATAATTTATTCATAATCAAAACTTATCTGTTACAAACATTTGTAAGTTTATAATAAAATGTTCAGTTCTAGTTCAGTTCCAGTTCAGTTCTAGTTCAGTTCTAGTTCAGTTCTATTTCAGTTCTAGTTCAGTTCTAGTTCAGTTCTAGTTCAGTTCTAGTTCAGTTCTAGTTCAGTTCTAGTTCAGTTCTAGTTCAGTTCTAGTTCAGTTCTAGTTCAGTTCTAGTTCAGTTCTAGTTCAGTTCTAGTTCAGTTCTAGTTCAGTTCTAGCTCAGTTCTAGTTCAGTTCTAGTTCAGTACTAGTTCAGTTCTAGTTCAGTTCTTGTTCAGTTCTAGTTCAGTTCTAGTTCAGTTCTAGTTCAGTTCTAAATCAGTTCTAGTTCAGTTCAGTTCTAGTTCAGTTTTACTTCAGTTCTAGTTCAGATCTAGTTCAGTTCCAGTTCAGTTCTAGTTCAGTTCTAGTTCAGTTCTAGTTCAGTTCTAGTTCAGTTTTAGTTCAGTTCTAGTTCAGTTCTAGTTCAGTTCTAGTTCAGTTCTAGTTCAGTTCTAGTTCTGTTCTAGTTCAGTTCTAGTTCAGTTCTACAGACTAGACTATAGACTAGACTATAGACTAGACTATAGACTAGACTATAGACTAGACTATAAACTAGACTATAGACTAGACTATAGTCTAGACTATAGACTGGACTTTATAGACTAGGCTATAGACTAGACTATGGACTAGACTATAGACTGGACTTTATAGACTAGACTATAGACTAGACTATGGACTAGACTATAGACTAGACTATAGACTAGACTATAGACTAGACTATAGACTAGACTATAGACTAGACTATAGACTAGACTATAGACTAGACTATAGAACTATAGACTAGACTATAGACTAGACTATAGACTAGACTATAGACTAGACTATAGACTAGACTATAGACTAGACTATAGATTAGACTATAGACTAGACTATAGAATAGACTATAGACTAGACTATAGACTAGACTATAGACTAGACTATAGACTAGACTATAGACTAGACTATAGACTAGACTATAGACTAGACTATAGACTAGACTATAGACTAGACTATAGACTAGACTATAAATAGACTATAGACTAGACTATAGACTATAGACTAGACTATAGACTAGACTATAGACTAGACTATAGACTAGACTATAGACTAGACTATAGACTAGACTATAGACTAGACTATAGACTAGACTATAGACTAGACTATAGACTAGACTATAGACTAGACTATAGACTAGACCATAGACTAGACTATAGACTATACTATAGACTATACTATAGACTAGACTATAGACTAGACTATAGACTAGACTATAGACTAGACTATAGACTATACTATAGACTAGATTATAGATTAGACTAAAGACTAGACTAAAGACTAGACTAACGACTAGACTATAGACTAGACTATAGACTGGACTATTGACAAGATTATAGACTAGACTATAGACTAGACTATAGACTAGACCATAGACTAGACTATAGACTAGACTATAGACTAGACTATAGACTAGACTATAGACTATACTATAGACTAGATTAGACTAAAGACTAGACTAAAGACTAGACTAACGACTAGACTATAGACTAGACTATAGACTGGACTATTGACAAGATTATAGACTAAACTATAGACAAGATTATAGACTAGACTATAGACTCGACTATAGAATAGAATATAGACTATAGACTAGACTATAGACTAGACTATAGACTAGAATATAGACTAGAATATAGACTAGACTAAAGACTAGACTATAGACTAGACTATAGGCTAGACTATAGACTAGACTAGACTAGACTAGATTAGACTATAGACTAGACTATAGATTAGACTATAGACTAGACTATAGACTAGACTATAGATTAGACTATAGCCTAGACTATATACTAGACTATAGACTAGACTATAGACTAGACTGTAGACTAGACTATAGACTAGACTATAGACTAGACTATAGACTAGACTATAGACTAGACTATAGACTAGACTAAAGACTAGACTAAGACTAGACTAAAGACTAGACTATAGACAAGACTATAGACTAGACTATAGACTAGACTATAGACTAGACTATAGACTAGACTACAGACAAGACTATAGACTAGACTATTGACTAGACTATAGACTAGACTATAGACTAGACTATAGACTAGACTATAGACTAGACTATAGACTAGACTATAGACTAGACTATAGACTAGACTATAGACTAGACTATAGACTAGACTATAGACTAGACCTATAGACTAGACTATAGACTAGACTATAGACTAAACTGTAGACTAGACTATAGACTAGACTAGACTATAGACTAGACTGTAGACTAGACTATAGACTAGACTATAGACTAGACTATAGACTAGACTATAGACTACACTATAGATTAGACTATAGACTAGACTATAGACTAGACTATAGACTAGACTATAGACTAGACTATAGACTAGACTATAGACTAGACTATAGACTAGACTATAGACTAGACTATAGACTAGACTATAGACTAGACTATAGACTAGACTATAGACTAGACTATAGACTAGACTATAGACTAGACTATAGACTGGACTATAGACTAGACTATAGACTAGACTATAGACTAGACTATAGACTAGACTACAGACTACACTATAGACTAGACTATAGACTAGACTATAGACTAGACTATAGACTAGACTATAGACTAGACTATAGACTAGACTATAGACTAGACTATAGACTAGACTATAGACTAGACTATAGACTAGACTATAGACTAGACTATAGACTGGACTATAGACTAGACTATAGACTAGACTATAGAATAGACTATAGACTAGACTATAGACTAGACTATAGAATAGACTATAGACTAGACTATAGACTAGACTATATACTAGACTATAGACTATAGACTAGACTATAGACTAGACTATAGACTAGACTATATACTAGACTATAGACTAGACTATAGACTAGACTATAGACTAGACTATAGACTAGACTATAGACTAGACTATAGACTAGACTATAGACTAGACTATAGACTAGACTATAGACTAGACTATAGACTAGACTATAGACTAGACTATAGACTAGACTATAGACTAGACTATAGACTAGACTATAGACTAGACTATAGACTAGACTATAGACTGACTATAGACTAGACTATAACTGACTAGAGACTAGACTATAGACTAGACTACAGACTAGACTATAGACTAGACTATAGACTAGACCAAGACTAGACTAAAGACTAGACTAAAGACTAGACTATAGACAAGACTATAGACTAGACTATAGACTAGACTATAGACTAAACTGTAGACTAGACTATAGACTAGACTGTAGACTAGACTATAGACTAGACTATAGACTAGACTATAGACTAGACTATAGACTACACTATAGATTAGACTATAGACTAGACTATAGACTAGACTATGACTAGACTATAGACTAGACTATAGACTAGACTATAGACTAGACTATAGACTAGACTATAGACTAGACTATAGACTAGACTATAGACTAGACTATAGACTAGACTATAGACTAGACTATAGACTAGACTATAGACTAGACTATAGACTAGACTATAGACTAGACTATAGACTAGACTATAGACTAGACTATAACTACTATAGACTGGACTATAGACTAGACTATAGACTGAGACTATAGACTAGACTATAGACTAGACTACAGACTACACTATAGAATAGACTATAGACTAGACTATAGACTAGACTATAGACTAGACTATAGACTAGACTATAGACTAGACTATAGACTAGACTATAGACTAGACTATAGACTAGACTATAGACTAGACTATAGACTAGACTATAGACTAGACTATAGACTAGACTATAGACTAGACTATAGACTAGACTATAGACTAGACTATAGACTAGACTATAGACTAGACTATAGACTAGACTATAGACTAGACTATAGACTAGACTATAGACTAGACTATAGACTAGACTATAGACTAGACTATAGACTAGACTATAGACTAGACTATAGACTAGACTATAGACTAGACTATAGACTAGACTATAGACTAGACTATAGACTAGACTATAGACTAGACTATAGACTAGACTATAGACTAGACTATAGACTAGACTATAGACTAGACTATAGACTAGACTATAGACTAGACTATAGAATAGACTATAGACTAGACTATAGACTAGACTATAGACTAGACTATAGACTAGACTATAGACTAGACTATAGACTAGACTATAGACTAGACTATAGACTAGACTATAGACTAGACTATAGACTAGACTATAGACTAGACTATAGACTAGACTATAGACTAGACTATAGACTAGACTATAGACTAGACTATAGACTAGACTATAGACTAGACTATATACTAGACTATAGACTAGACTATATACTAGACTATAGACTAGACTATAGACTAGACTATAGACTAGACTAGACTATAGACTAGACTATAGACTAGACTATAGACTAGACTACAGACTCTTCTATAGACTAGGCTATAGACTAGACTATAGACTACACTATAGACTAGACTATAGACTACACTATAGACTAGACTATAGTCTAGTTTATACATTATATAGAGATTAAAAATACACAATTTTTTTATAGTTTATTATATTCTGATTTTATAGTAAATTATAAAATTTCATAAATTTTTCATATCTCTTAGTACTGTCATTTAAACTTTTCAATTCCTCAAAGCTTTTCAATAATGGCTGCTCTTTGGCCAAAGTCTGCTGAAGTATTGTAGCTTTATATTCCTGAATTTTATTAGAAAGATCGTAGTCAATTAAATTATTAAATTTAATTTGATATTTTAAAAGAAATTTCGCATAGCCGTGAGCATTGAAAATGTCCACTATCAATTTATGATCCTTGTTAGGAATTTCCGTATTAGAGTAATATTTTTGTACTATATTTTTGTTGAAATTGTTGAACTCCGTTTGCAAATCATCAATATCTTCGTTATTT